ATTGCCTGAACTCTCTCGGGTTTGAGACCCGCCTGGGCAACTTGGCAAGACCTCATCTCTACAATAAATCAAAAATTAGCCGGGCGTGGTAGTGCGCGCCTGTAGTTCCAGCTACTCGGAAGGCTGAGGCGGAAGGATCGCCAGAGCCCAGCAGGTCGAGGCTGCGGTGGCTGGGAGCGGCCGCTGCACTGCAGGCTGGGCGACAGTGAGATTCCAACTCAAAATAATAATAATAATAATAATTAATAGACTAAGGTCATCCCTTGAATCTCCATAAGAGCCTTGGGAATACTCTGGTTCTCTGGTTATTCTCACGATACAGGTGGGAAAACAGGCACAGACAGGTTACTCAACTAACCAAAGGTCACACAGAGTGAATGCTCTCCCTGCCTGGAATGCTCTTCCCACAGAAGTTCTCGTGACTGTCCCCTGGTTATTCCAGAACTGCTCAATGTCACCTTCCTGCCACATTCTTTTCACCATCCACCCTTGTGCACCTTTTGCGTTTTGGACTATATGACTGCATTACCCCTTCAAAATAACAACTTTGCAGAAAATGCATGTTATGAATTGCAACATAAAGAGACTGTCAAGGGGCTGCAGTGGCTCACACCTATAGTCCCAGCATTTTGGGCGGCAGAGGCGAGAGGGTGCCTGAGCCCAGGGGTTCAGGACCAGCCTGGGGCAACTTGGCGAGATCTCGTCTCTACAATAAATCAAAAATGAGCCAAGTGTGGTAGCACACACCTGTAGTTCGGGCTACTTGGAAGCCTGAGGCGGAAGGATCGCCAGAGCCCAGCAGATCAGCGCTGGGGCGGCCGTGGTATGCCACTGCACTCCAGGCTGGGCGACAGAGTGAGACTCCAACTCAAAAAGGTTTCCCTGAGCAGGGATTCTGGGGGGCACTCAGAACAGTGAGACTGACAGGGTCTCCAGAGCCTTCCCAGCTCTGGATGGAGGCTCAGATGACAAGGCCTTTCCTTTGGAGCCGCCACAAAGTGTGGAGCTATTGTCGTGACTGATGACCTCTGAATCCCTCAGGGACATTCGTAGCCATGGCACAGAAGAAGAAACAGGCGTAGGGAGGCAGGGCCACATCAGGCCAAGCGTTCTCCTACCTGGAAGGAGGCGGCTGCAGCCGAGACAGGACACCCGCCTGGGCCGTGCTGCGCCATGGCTGCTTCCCACCAGAGCTTCCCAGCTCCTGGTCGGGAGGCAGCCAGGGCCCCGGCACCTCTCATCCCGGTCGGAGCCTGAGTGACGCACGGGTGTGGGTACCTGCCAAGTCAGCTCTGCCTGGGCATCAGCCATAGGCTCAGTTGAGCCAGAGAGGGGAGCATGACTGGCCTGGGGCCAGTTCTGAGCTCTCCAGTGTGCAGGGAGAAAGGCTTTGCCTGATAGGTTCCCGCCTTCATCCTGGGATCAGCCCAGGGACCTCCTGGCCTCCCTGGCAGGTTTGTGGCGTGAGTATGGGACTAGCCAGACCTCCTACAAGTTAAACAACAACTTGGTGGAGGTTAAAGGTGACTTGGCAGGCGGGAGGAAAGGGTGCTGGGGGACTTCAGACCTCGGGACTGGCTTCATCTGGCCTCCTCTTAGCCTACCTGCTCTACAGTTAGGGCCATTTGCCCTCGCCCTGCCAGGCCGGGATCCCGGTAGGGGGGTGGTGGCTCAGGACACGGGGCACAGCATGGGCACGAGGCACCCTCAACTTAGAGTCCAAGTCTGCTGCAGAGGCTTTGTTTGTTTCACCAAACCATCTGGCCAGAAGCCAGGAGACAGAACCCAGCCCCAGCCCACAGGGTGAGCACGTCCCAGGCCGGGTACAGGGACTCATGCCTGAAACCCTAGTGGTTTGAGAGGTCGAGGCCAGAGGACTGCTTGGGCCCAGGAGTTGGAGACCAGTCTGGGCTCTACAGCCTCTCTGGTCATCCATTCATCTGTCTGTGACTCACTCCACTGTATCTGAGAGGCGCGCACACGCCGGGCACAGCTAGGCATCTACGTACTGGAAACATCAACTTCCCCAAGAACCTGCCCTCCAAGGGTCTTTCCTCCAGGCCACATACCTCCGTCCACAGGCCACGCTAGAGCTTGGAGCTACAGCTGGACAAGAACCTACAACAGCCTGGCCAGCCCTGGTGGCTCCCTGGCGTGGACTTTGGGGAAGAGGGTGGTGGCAGGGTTTAGGGCCTGCTTTGGCTGTTGTAAAATGTGGCTAAATTGGGACTGGGTGGTAGTGGTTCACATCTGTGATCCCAGCACTGTGGGAGGCTGAGGCAGGAGGATTGCTTGAACCCAGGAATTCGAGATCAAACTGGGCAGCATGGCGAGACTCTCAATAAACATTTTAAAAATTAGCATTCGGCACATGCCTGTAGTCCCAGCTTCTTGGGAGGCTGAGGTGGAAGGACTGCCTGAACCAGGAGGTTGAGGCTGTGGTGAGCCATGATCATGCCATTGCACTGCAGTCTGGGCATCAGAGTGAGACCCTGACTTAAAAAAAAAAAAGTCATAGCGAGATTTTCCAATGACAATTGAAAGATTTTGAGTGACAGATTAACAGATCAGGGAAAACTTACAAGGCTGATCTACTGTGCTTTTATTTATTTTGATTTATTGTAGAGACAAGGTCTCACTAAGTTGCCCAGGCTGGTCTTGAACCCCTGGGCTCAGGCAATCCTCTCACCTCAGCCTTCCAAAGTGCTGGGATTACAGGCATGAGCCACCGAGCCCAGTCAGTTCTTTTATTTTTAAAATGACTCACTGTGTCACCCAGGCTGCAGCAAAATCATGGCCACTGCAGCCTAGACCTGATGGGCTCAGGTGATCCTCCCACCTCAACCTTCCTTGTAGCTGGAACCACAGGTGTGTGCCAACATGCCTGGCTAATTTTTTGAGTTATAGTAGAGACAAGGTCTCACCAAGTTGTCCAGGCTGGTCTTGAACCCCTGGCTTCAGGCAGTTCACTTGTCTCTGCCTCTCAAAGTCCTGGGATTACAAGCATGAACCACTGCACCCAGCCACTTACAGAAACTTCTGAGCAATGATACAATGATTGTCTGTTATCTTATTAAATGCTCACAACACTGAGGGTTCCATTCACTCATTCAACATCTTTGTATTAAGCGTATCTCCCAAGAGACTTTGGGAGCAAAGCAGTACCACTCTTGCCTGCCCCTGCGGAACTCACTCTAGTAGACATTTTTTTTTTGAGTCGGAATCTCACTCTGTTGCCCAGGCTGGAGTGCAGTGGCACACTCATGGCCACGGCAGCCTAGACCAGCTGGGCTCAGGTGGTCCTTCCGCCTCGGCCTTCCAAGTAGCTGGAACTACAGGTGTGTGCCACCACACCCAGCTATTTGTTTTATTGTAGAGACAAGCTCTCGCCATGTTGCCCAGGCTGGTCTTGAACCCATGGGCTCAGGCAATCCTCTCGCCTCAGCCTCCCAAAGCGCCGGGATTACAGGCATGTCCCACCGCGCCCAATGACTCTACTAGCAGAGCCTAACGAGTTTGATGGATTAAGTTCTACGGAAAACAGCGAAGTGTAACAAGGGAAAGAATAGGAGCAGCTGAGGGCATCAGGTGACACGTAAGTAGAAATCCCGAAGGAAGGAGGGCTGTGCGGAAGCAAGGGGTTTGCACAAGTGGGGGGGCAGGAAGCCCTTGGAGGGGAGCTTTGTGCAGCGAGCGGTGCTGGCCTTGCTTTCGACATCTTGGTGTTCCCGCGTGTCTCCTTCACTAATATTTCCACTCATGCAATTTAAGCCTTAACATTTTTCTTGGGGACAGTGTCTGGCTCTGTCACCCAGGCTCCTGGAGTGCAGTGGCACAATCAGAACTCATTGCAGCCTCGACATATTGGGCTCACGGGAGCCTCCTGACTCAGCCTCCCAAACAGCTGGGACTACAGGCACATGCCACCACACTCAGCTAACTTTTTCACTGTGGCTTTTAGGGATCTTTGATTACTAGTTACACCGGGTTAAACGGCTCCTCCCCATTTATGTCTTCCCAGAACCTAAGTTTGGCCTTATTTGGAAAAGTGGTCTTTGCAGATGTAATTGGTTAAGACGAGATAATACTAGATCAGGGTGGGCCCTAAATCCAGAAGAATGCCACTGAGCAGAAAGGCAAGGCCAGGAGCCAAGGCTCACGCCTGTCATCCCATATAATCCCGGTGCTTCTGGAGGCGGAGGCGGGAGAATCACTTGAGTCCAGGAGTTCAAGAACATCCTAGGCAACATAGCAAAACCCCATCTCTAATTTTTTTTTAAAAAGGCCAAGGCAAAGAATGAAGTGACGCATCCACAAGCCAAGAAATGCCAAGGACTGCCAGCAGCTACCAGAAGCCAGGAGAGAGACATGGGACAGATACTTCCTTAGAGCCTTCAAGATGACAGAATACGCTTGTTACTTTGGCATGTTCACGGCAACTAGTTATGGCAACCTTTCTTCCTGGCTCCCCCTCAAGGTCTCTGCCTGCAATAGACACAGACAACTGACCTCCAGCATGCCCGTCCAGCTTCAGGCTCACAGAAAACGTGCCCCACCATGTGTGGCTCCTCGGAGGGTCCCAGCCATGAGCCCTCAATCCTCCCTCTCCCCTGACTTTCCTCCCACCCACTCCCCACTCTCCTCCAAGCTCCTGCCACCCCCCAGACCCTTCGAGCCTTCCACCCTCTGCTCACTTCCCCTCCCCAACCAGCAGCCCGAGGGACTGCCTTTCTCAGGTTACAGATCTGCATTCCGTGTCACTGTGCTCAGAGCTTGAACTCAGCTGCCGTTGCCTGTACCCTCCCCAGGGACCTGAGATCCCTTTGTCTGACCCAGCAAAGGACAGCGGGGCAACACGGTACTTCCCCTTCTGGAAGGCGCCCCAGAGAAGACAGAAGGCCTTTATGATGAACCGGGACAAAAAGGCAAGACCCCCAGCAGCTTGACAAATCAAATCCCAACGAGGTGGCTGTGGGGTGCAGGACAGAACACACAGCCACTTACTGAAAAAGCCAACTTTTAATGGTAACCAACCAGGCATGTCCCAGGACAACTGACCAAAAGAAACACAACGATCCTACGAAAGAAACCAAGAGTTTGTGCGGGTCCCAGTGCGGCTGAGGGTGGGGCCAGGAGTGGCCCACGCACAGACGGCCTGTCCCATCAAGCTTGTCATCCAAGAGAAGCGTGTGGAGGGCAAGGGGCCTATCCCCCCGCATCCCGCTGGGCACGCTGAGAAAGTCACGGGGGGGCGAACCTCTCCTCCCACCCACTCCTGCCTGGGCCCGTCCAGAAAGCCAAGGAGCAGGCGGCTCGGTGCCCTCGTGGCCTTCTGCCGACACTTCACCCCAGTCCACTCAGCTGGCTGCTCCCAGCGCCAGGGGTGAGGATTAAACAAGATACGCGCTAGAGAAGACGCTCAAATGCCCCACCATCTCCACCATGCACGCCACATAGCAGAAGAGAAAACAACGACCTCAGCAGGCCACGAGGTCTCAGAAGACCCGCTCGAACTCCGTCTGGTTGGTGGTGGCGGGGTTGCGGCTCTGATTGGTGGCCTGCTGGGTGATCTGGCTGCCCTTCCGGCGTGGTGGTGCCAGGTACTCAAACATGGACGTCAGGTGGGTGGACAGCATGCCCTTAAGGTCCGAGGGCATGGGGTCGGACCAGAAGAAGTCGTGGTTGAGGGCGTCATCGCTGTCGATGCGCTGCGCAGGGTCCAGCACCAGCAGCTTGTCGATGAGGTCCAGCGCGTAGGGGTCACGCACGTAGGCCTTCAGCCTGTCCTTCACCTTCCGTTTCTGGCCCTTGACCAGCTCCAGCTTCTCATACAGCTCGTACTTGTCCACGTTTGGCCACACCTGGAGGGGGGAGGGCATTGAGAGGGGGTGGAGCTCGGTCAGAGAGTGAAGGCTCGACCTCGGCCCAGCACCTAGAGGAACACCTTCTCCACGAGGGAGCGAGCCATCCAGGGTGAAGCAGCAGTGTCTGCTGGGACTCCGCACACGCCACGTGCCAGCCCTTCACACAAACCACCTGGAACATGGGTACTGACCCTGACACAAGCACACTTCTGTTTCACAGGAGAGAAACCCAGCACCGATTCGAATGCCTACTGGTGCCGGAGCTGAAACGTGAGCACAACCCGCATGGCCCTCAGAAGGCAGCCCTGTCTCCCACCAGCCTTTTCCCCAGAGAGGAGCCTCCCTTCTGTTCCACTCCCCACCTCCCCTGCAAGGAGGCTTGGAGCTCAGTGCCTGACGGGGGCTGGGACCGTGGCCACGCACCTCGGGAGTGATGGAGCCACAGAGCTGGCTGATGAGGGCAAGCTGGTGCTGCTCCGTGTTGCCCTGCATGATAGGGCTGCGGGTCCACATCTCTGCCATGATGCACCCAGCACCCCACAGGTCAATGGGGGGGCCGTAGTCCCGCTCCCCTGGGAAGAAGAGCGCCCCAGGAGGGCCCCTTGAGCCCGAGGGTCTCCTGAGGCTCCACGCCCCGGGGCCGGCGGCCGGGCGGATGCCTGGCCCCTGCCCCCTCTGCCCGCTCGGGAACCCTCACCGAGCAACAGCTCCGGGGGCCGGTACCAGAGCGTCACCACACGGTTGGTGTAGCGGTTGGGCTGGCTGTTCTTGGCCAGGCTGAAGGCCCGGGCTAGCCCAAAGTCAGCCAGCTTGAGGACCCCGTCCCGGGTGATAAGCACGTTGGCAGCTTTCATGTCCCTGTGCAGGATCTGCAGGAAGGGCAAGAGGGAGAGCTCAGCCGCCCAAAGGGGCCTGCGGCTCACCCGCGGCGTGGGAGCGGGACCCACTCCAGCCGCGCTTTCTCCTCCCGGCCGCTGCCCCGCACCTTGTTCCTGTGGATGTAGTAGAGGCCGTTGAGCAGCATCTGCATCACCCTCTTGATCTCAGACAGCGTGAACTTGACCAAAACGTTGCTCAGCAGCCCAGCGAGGTCATGCTCGCAGAAGTCAAACACCAGGTATATGCTGCCCTTGCAGCGGTTGTAGGGGGAGGCTGGGGCGGAAACAGCAGGAAGACGCGCAAGTCATGGAACCGTGCCCGACTCACTTTCCCACGGCCAGCCTTTTCGGCTTTTGGGTCAGGGTCTCACTCGGGTGCCCAGGCTGGAGTGCAGTGGCGCCATCACGGCTCACCGCAGCCTCGGCCTCCTGGGCACAGGGGATCCTCCTGTCTCAGCCTCCTGAGCAGACAGCCAGTTTCCCTCTACCCTCTCCACCCACGGACACCTGTGCCCCCCAGAGCAGCCATGTGTTCGTTCCTTCTTCACTGGCAAGTTATTTTCCGAGTGTCTCCTTGAGCCCAGGTGCTGGGGCAGGCCCTGGGGATGCACCAGCTCCCATGACAGAGAACCGAAGAAGCCGTCACCCCTGGGAGGCCTGAATCAAGAAGAGGCAACTGGCCGGGCGCTGCGGCTCATGCCTGTCATCCCAGCACTCTGGGAGCTGGAGGTGAGAGGACTGCCCGAGTCCATGGACTCAAGACCTGCCCGGGCAACTTGGCAAGACCTCGTCTCTACAATAGATAAAAAAATTAGCTGGGCGTGGTGGTAGGCATCTGTGGTTCCAGCTACTTGGAAGGCTGAGGCGGAAGGATCGCTGGAGCCCAGCAGGCTGAGGCTGCAGTGGCCGGGAGTGTGCTGCTGCCCTCCAGCCTGGGTGACAGAGTGAGACTCCGGCTCAAAAAAAAAAAAGAATTTTAAAAAAAGGAGGCAATTTAGATATCCTGTTCCAACTCCACAAACAAAATATTAGGTTACACACCTCATTTTCTCCCAAGATCCAAATAACTTACCTTTGGTTCGACAAATCTCAATCAAGTTGACCACATTCTCATGCTTTAGAAGCTGGAGGATCTTGATCTCCCGCAAGGCTGTGATAGGGAACTGGGCAGGAGAAAGAAGGGAAGTGGTCAGGCCTACAGACCTCAGAACTGGTCCTGGGATCTACATTAAAGAACACAGGTTGGGAGACAGAGACAAGATCATGAGCCCTGAACTCAGCTGTCTCAGAAGCTTCACCTATAAAATGGATGTAAGAGTAGTATGCAAACCTCAAAAACTTGGTTAGAGACAACAAACTGAAATCGTGCTACTTAACCACTTTGCTGCTGGCCACTAGATGCTCCATAGATTCAACCCTCAGAGTCTAGCTCTATAGCTGTTTTCCTGGCAACACAAATAATGGTTTTTAAAAATGCCCTGCTTTAGCAGGAAGATTAAGGTCTCTGAACTAGAGTGAAGATGGGTTGGAGGTGACTGGTCCTTTTAAACGCATTAAATAACTGATCATGAGTTGCCTTTTAAAAACCTTGCACGTGTCTCTTTTACATAAAACAAACTTAATCGCTAAGAAAAAGATTTTTTGGTTTGTTTTTCTGGGTTGGAGTCTCACTCTCTCACGGCTACCCTGAACTCCGAGCTCAAGGGACCCTTCTGCCTCAGCCTTCCAAGTAGCTACGACTACAGGCTCTTGCCACCATGCCCGGCCAATTTTCCTCCTTGTAGAGAGGAAACGTCCCCACGGTGTCCAGTCTGGAACGTCTGGGCTCCAGCAGCCCTCCTGCCTGGGCCTTTCCACGTGTCAGGATCACAGGCGTGAGCCACGCGCCCAGCCAGAAGAAGATGGTTCAAGGCTTCCTAACTTCCGAATGGTGTGCTCAAAGCCAGCACAAGCTCCCGGTCTTGGCCCCGACCGGGAAACGCCAAGTGCTCCAGAGCGTTTGAACGGAGGGCTCGGGTGGGGGCGAACTTCCCAACCGTGCGGAAACTTCCGAAGCCACTCCACGGAAGTGGACTCTCAAGCCGAGACGCGCAGGGGGCAGCAGGGGGAGACCCACCGAGGGTCCAGGGCGGCCGCACGCCGACTCACCCCCTCCTTCTCGTTCTCCATCAGCACCTTCTTCAGAGCCACCTTCTGGCCGGTCTTGCGGTGCTTGGCCTTGAACACCTC